ACCATCCATTTGTAAGCCTTTGCACCACTGTTAAATATGGAGACCATAGTGAAGATGTATTTTTACATTGAAGATACATATTTAGATATATTCTTTCTATAAGTATTTTTATAAGAAAATAAAATAAATTTGTCTATCAATTGAAAAACAATTGAACTAAATAATATGAAACAAATTCTACCCATTAACTTCTATGCAAAGTAATTTTTGCTTTAAGTTATTCATTTCCATTTTTCTTATACTTTTTTTCCCTAAAATTAATTTGTCAGGTTCGGCCTCAATAAACCCAATTTAATAAATGTGAAACCCTGAATATTTAACGCACCAGATCCCACACTCTGATCACCATTAAATGCACTGTGCCACGTCAAAACGCACTCACTTCCACTGCATGCAATTGCCAAGTGTCGCGGCTGGAACATTCTAAATGCGTTAGTGGAAGACAAGTGGCATGCGGAGAATGGGCGTTCGTCCTGCGTGGGAAGGGGAAATGATTTTCTGAAAACTCTTCCCCTCCCTTCTGCATGCTTCATCTTCTTCCCTGAAATTCTAATTTCAAATTCTCTGCCTTCTCTCTAAAACCGCCTCATCTTCTCTCTAAGATAACTCACCATCATCTCCTCCGATCCCATTTCAGAAACCGAAGGACCGTTCACGACGTTGTGAGCTTTCACTGGAACCAAACACGTTAGAGTTCTGTGAACGGTAAGTTCTCCAACTCTAAACACCCTTTTCTGGGTTGCATGCGGACCTTGATACAACTGCATGTTAGAATAGAAACTAAGTTCTCCTATGTTCCTTTTGGTTAGATTTAGTGGAGCACTTGAGAAGCACGTTGAGGGTAGGAAACCATATTTGGACAAGTTAAAAAGCACTCGCTTAGGGAGTTCACTGCTAGACCAGGTAAGGGAAGCTTTAGTAATTTAATTTATACTTGTATGACGTGTGTGAAAGCATGAAGTTATTGGATGTATGAAATATATGAAGTTTGAGTATGCATGAACGAGCCCTGTTGTACTGGTTGTATATGAGTGATATTGTTGTGAACTGCATGTTGAGGATGAAACGTATGGATTGGAAAATGAATAATTTCTGTATGGTATGAGATGATAATATGAATTCTGTAATGTATGAGATTTATGGTGGAGATAAATTATAAGATATGAATCGTATGAAAACTGTGAAGTTATTGTAGATGAAAATCTGGAAAATATAATAGTCTTTGCTTGATAATGCACGCTCGTCATCGAACGGTCTTATACCGTTCGGTTTCCCCTGAAATGACTTAGAATAGGAATTCTTTCATTTGGAAGGGATTCTGTTTAAGAACGAGCGTCTTTTTGTGAAAGGCTAGGTTTGTGCGTTCGGCTCATCCTAGTGGTGTCCAACGATCGCTATAAATTGAAGTTATATTAGTAACGCTCGGTTTTGTAATCCGGCGTTCGTTATAGGTAGCGCTTAGTCTTATACCGAGCGTTCGTCCAATGAGCTCTCGGTCTTATATCGAGCGTTCATTCTAATTAGTGCTCGGTCATCTACCTAGCGTTCGTCCTAAGCAGTGTTCGGTTTTATAACTGAACGCTCGTCCTTATAATTGATTCCCGAACGAACATAAATAGCGTTCGTCCTAAATTATCAATTGAAAAACAATTGAACTAAATAATATGAAACAAATTCTACCCATTAACTTCTATGCAAAGTAATTTTTGCTTAAAGTTATTCATTTCCATTTTTCTTATACTTTTTTTCCCTAAAATTAATTTGTCAGGTTCGGCCTCAATAAACCCAATTTAATAAAACTTAAATTACTTATATTAATATTATTTGTTATTAAATAGAATTGGTATATGTATAAAAAAAAACAAAACAGATGAATAAGGACTTGAAACAACCCAATGTATTTACCAAAGAATTAAATTTTTAGTACATGTGTCTAATTTTTTTTATTCTAGCAAAAACTTATTAAATTATAAGATAATTTTTATTAAAAATGATTATAAAATTTTTGTATAATTTTTATTATTAAATAGTTTTTTTTACTATAAAAAATTATTTAAAATTTAAAAAGTAGTTATTAAAATGATAAAATTGTAAAATACTTATTGTAATTTATAAAATAATTAAATTTAGATTATACGTAGGTATAGATTCATATATGTTACAAATGATATTTTTTTTATACTAACTAATAACATGTTATTTAATTTTTAGATGTTAAGCCCTATATTTTATGAATAACAATTAAAAATAATAATGGTAAAAATATGTATATTATTTTAAGTATTAAATTTTTAGATGTTAAACCCTTCAAAGTATACTTTATGAATAATAATGCTAAAAATATGTATATTATTTCAATTATAAATTTAGTACATAAATTAATAAATAAATCAAGCTTAATAGTTTGTTCCAAAGCATGGGAGTATTTTAACTTTAATTTCTATGGAATAGTTTTCTCTTGTTTTAGTTATTGGAGCTGGTTGAGATCAACCATCATGTCGATATTAGCTCGAAGAATATCTACACATCAAAAACATATCTTATTATCTATCAAATCTTTCCAGGATCAATACATATTCTAAGTTTAAATATAAATTTATAAATAATTAAAAAATATTGTTAGGACTATAAATATTTGAAATTTTGAGAAAATAAAAAAGATTTGATGCATAAAGTTTATGAAATATTATATTGAGTTGAGATTGATTATTTTTTTATTGAGTAGTCAAACTCACTTCTAGTTGAGTTGAATTTATTTTAAATCAAACTAAATTAAATTCATAATGGGACACGAACCTATATAATAATGTTGATGTCAGGACAAATTGAAATCATGTCATGATAAATCTATATTGAGACAAAGTTAGATTTAAATTAAATCATGTTAGGTTGGATTGGTCTACTTAGACAAGTTGATTTGATCCTAATATTTTTCTTAAGTTACAAATGATAAACTTTAAGTAAAAACTAATTTAAAATTAATGTAAAACATTTAAAAAATAATTTATAATTTAAAATATTTTAGAAACCTTATTATTATAAAAGATATTTAAAATTAATTAAAATATTCTATTCTAACTCATTTTAAGTGGGATTATAATTTTTTCAATCGAGATATATAGTAGACCAATAAAGATAAGCTTGTTTAGGTTTTTTCTCATTAATATATTTTAAATAAGTTATTATATTGATATGGATAAATATTAAGAATGGTAGTTTGAGATGTTGTACAAAATAATAATTTGTTTTTGAGATAGTGTATGAAAAATTATCTAAATAAACGAAAAAAATATTTACTAATACTTATCAGATACTATCATGTCTATTTTATATAGTTAATCATTCATCTTTTGATTTACTATTTTTTATTACTTAAATTACATTTAAAATTTTAAGAAAATGTTAATTATTAATTGTTAAAAACTATATTTTATATATTATAAATATTAATTACATACAAATAACCCTTTATAATATGTACATGTAAAATGATTTCATATAAAGGTAAATTTTGAATAAATTTTTATACGAAAATACTAATAACTAAAAGTAAAAAGCAATTCAAATTTTTTTGTTAATTTTTAATGTAAAATAAATGTTGTGTTCAATTTATTATATATATATATATATATATATATATATATATATATATATATATATATATATATATATATATATATAAAAGGAAGGTATTATAATTAATTTCTTGAATAATTACAATATATAATATGATAATTAATATTTTGAAATAAAAAAAAATATATTTTAATTTTATGGTATGATTTAAATTTTTTAATTTTAATAATTATTATAAATTTTAATTCAAAATAAGATGAAAAAGATTGATGAAGAAGATAAATTATTTTTTTATAAAGAAGATACTAATGGATAAAAAAGATACTAATGTTTTATTATGATAATTAATATTTTGAAATATATAATATGATAATTAATATTTTGAAATACATAAAAATTATATTTTAAATTTACATTATGATTTAAATTATTTAATTATTATAAATTTTGATTCAAAATAAGATTAAAAGATGAATGAAGAAGATAAATTGATTTTTTTATAAGGAAAATCTTACTAGATAAAGATTCGTTATCTAGTATTTTGAAATACTGTATTTTAATATGATAATTAATATTTTGAAATACGCAAGTATTATATTTTAAATTTACGTTATAATTTAACTTTTTAAATTTTGATAATTATTACAAATTTTAATTCACAATCAGATAAAAAAGATTGTGGAAAAAGATAAATTGAATTTTTATAAGATAGATTCTATTTGATAAAGATTCTTAGAAGTTACCTATATAATATAATAGTATGGTATCTCCATATTTATGAAAGCATTTAGGTAAACACTGTATCTCACATGCAAAGCATTTGATCATAGCAACAAGTATCCTCTCATCATCGTCACTGCTCTAACAGTTGCTGTTGGTATCACATTCAACTCTTTCTCTCTTTCATTTCAATTTTATGCATCATTGATTTCTTTAATTCATGCTATTTCACATCCAAAACTCTTCCTCCATTGCTATTGGCTTTTATATATAAATGTGTTATAATCATTGTTTTGATCACAAAAAAAAAAATTGTGTGCTATAGCATTTGCTTTCTGCATTCCACTTGATTTTGTTGTTATTTCAGTGTTTTCTTTTACCGGTAGAGTGGGTAGATTTTTTTCATGAGTTCTCAATGAAGTATGTCCTGGTAGTTCTAATCCTTGATAGCCGCACCTATTTTTTGGGACTGAAAAAAGAAGAACACAGGGATTTTGTGTAGTTAATCAATAAGAATTCTTTGTCCCCTTTTACAAATTGACTCTCAATTAAAAAGATTCAATTTTATTATATGGGTTTTTGAAATTTAAGATATGGGTAATCAGTGAAACTTGTTTTTGATCCTGTGTGCTATCTCCATTACAATTATAGCATAGTTTATTCAATTATATTAGTCGGTGGAGGCATTTTCACGTTATCATTGAATTGATGCCTCTGGAAGTATGATGTGATTGATATTTATTCTCTGGTGTAACAATTTTCAGGTCCTGTTGAATCATGGCCGAAGATGGTGCTGATACTTTTCCGGAGTTGCTAAGTGTGTACAGAGTGTCTGGTCCCAGAAGCAATAGCATTTCTGATGACAGTGTTTCAAAGTCCTGCTTTTCTCAAAACTCTGTTCCAAATGTTTGGAGAACTCCAAATATTATTCAGAAGCTTAAGCTGGTAGAGAGGGTTAATGGTGTAACGAGAGTGACTGACAGCAGTCGCCAGAAGTACAAAAGCAACTCTCTTCCTACGCAGGAGAAGAGCAATTCTTTGTCTCCGGAGGACAACAGCAACACTCTTGGTACTCTGGCTTCTGAGGGAAGTGAAACTTTGAACGGCAGCAATTTGTCTCCTCAGTCAGTATTGATTCCGACATTAGAGAAAGAGTTAAATTCATCTACTGGAGTTGATGCAACTACATCTGCGGATTGCGAAAATGATAAATGCAAAATGGAAGAATCCCTAGAAATCTGTGGTGAAAACAATGATGAGATTGTTGACAACATATCTGACATTGTCTCGGACAGTGATGACGATTGTTCTATGGGTGGAAACTATTATATGTAGTTCCCAGAAGTACAAGGAGATTATGCAGTTGGGGTCGGAGAGAGAGAAAATAATGAGAATTCATGAAGAGAAATGGTTGGCTCTGAAGAAGAAACAGTGGCAGGAGCTGGTTGAACTTGAGAAGGAATTAGAGAATGAACTGACGCAGCTCATGGACAAGTACGCTTCCAACTAGTCATAAGAGAAAGACATATCTAAACTGAATGGCTGCTGAGTAACATTATTACCAAAAACCAAAACAGGAGAGTGGCTAAGACCAGAATCATCTACTGACATACACATATCTCTCAAGAAATTGGCTTTTTTGGTTCTAGTCTTCATTCGAAAAATGAGAGTGACATTTGACAAACCTCACTGACATTAGAATTTTGGTCTCATTTTACTCTTAAATGTAGTTTTTGTTCTTATTGTATTTTTTAAGTTTAGCATTCTTTGCTGGCAAGTTTTCTGTACAATTTTATGTTGAAGTTATTGTGTTCCTGTTGGATATTTTGTACGTAAAGTTTTAAATAAAATTAGTCCCGACACCCCTACTGAACAAATATGAAGTAATTTTATCAATTCTAAATCAAGTTAAAGTGACAACATATTCTGAGAGGAATGAAAGAAAATCCAAATTAAAAACAAGGATCACGATGACATGAATGATGGAATAATGCTTTTGAAGAATGAGCCATGGATGATGTAATAGTTTTTATGAATGATAAAATGATTTTTAAGGTGTATTTTGAAGATATATGCACGGTTAATAGTGAAAGAATAAAAAGAAATATATGATAAATTTGAATAGTCGCATATAAGTTTTGTTAACATAATGGAATTATTATCTTCTTAAGAGTTTTATATACTAAATTTTTTAGTATCTTCTTATGAATTATTATCTGAAATGTAATTTGCATTCTGAATTGACTTTTAAATTTGTATTATTGTATAATCTAAAATATAAATTTGTATAATGAATTGTATATTTTAAAATGTAAATTTGTATTACTAATTATATAATTTTGTATTATAAATAGTACAATTTGAAATAATTACAGTAAGATATATTGAAATTTTAAAAAACATGAGAGTGCAGAAAGAAAATATAGGAGTGCAAGAAAAAATTTCCAAATGAACATTGACCTCAAACACAGGCAGTAGATGCGACGGCCTAGACACAATAGGAAAATAAGGCCCATATTTTACATTTTTAATATCATTGTAATAATTGGCGCATATTTAGCAACAATATTATTTTTTATCTATTTATGTAATATACTCAATGTTATATTATGTTATATAACAATTTTTTTTTCTCTGCAACATGTTTACATCGTGTATATATTTTATTTGTATTTCTTTCTAAAGAAAATAAAAACGATATACAATCAGATAAACAACTATCTCATTATATCCTAAACATAAAATCTTGTGGTATTTAAGGATTGGGTTTTAATAACTAATAAATAATATAATACTTTATATAAGTTACTGTTAGTATGATTTATCCCTCACTCTTCACACAACAATATTAATGTTTTAAAATCTTTCAACATTTAAAAAAGCTGTGGCTTTTTTTTGGGATAATTAAAATTTTTTAATTTAATAGTTTTTAGTATTTGAAATTTGTTATTGATAATTAAAAACGTACCCGTGTTTTATTGAAACTGGGAAGTTTTGATATTTAATTCTAAAAACAGTTATAAATGATTTATTGACACTATGAATAGTTGATTTTATTAATTTTTTGAACATTTTTAAACATTATATTTTTTGGGGTTAAGTAACTAAGTTCGAATTTGTTAATTTTAATAGTTAAAAATTATTATAAATACATTTTTTTTTTAATTTGAAGCAATCTTTTTAAATCTGGCAATAGTTGAAATTATATTTACTGGTTTTAGTTATTTAAAAATTATTACGAGTAAATTTTTGAAATTTTAAACTTTAAAAATGTCGTAAATCCTTTTTTTAACTGATCAGGAATAGTTAGAGATAAATTACTAATTGAAAAATATTTTTATAAGTTTTTTCTTAAAACATTATTCATACATAACATAATTTAATGTGTATTTAAATTTAATAGATGCTGATACATACAAACGGGTGATTTTAATAAAAATAATTAATCTTTAAATCGCATAACCCAAACTATCATTAGATAGAAGTTATCAAAATTAATAATGTTTTTGAGATACTTAATCAGATATAATTTCAATGTTTTAGAACAATCTATTTTCTTTTTCCTTAAGAACATCTTTATAAAGATTGAGAAATTTGTAAAGAACATGTAAACATGGCCATGTATATGAGAAAAAGATGCATAAAAGGAACCTAGAAAGAAGTACCAGTTGGCGGAACAGAGGAAAATGGAGAGAAGGAAGCCCAAAGCAGTGTTCATGGCCTTCGGTACCAAAGGCGATGTCTACCCTCTTGCTGTCAGTTTTCCTTCTTTCTAAATTCTTTTTCTCTATTTGTTTCCACCAAAGTGGTTTTTTTTTTCTTTAATGTTTCTGGGTATACAACATAGGGTTAATGCTTAAAATTACGAGCTGAAGTGTCGAGATATTGGTACTGTTTAGTTTAAGCTCTTTTTCCCTCTCTAACTGTGTGTCTGTCTGTATAATTAATTGTGTTGGATTTCTCAATGAATTTGTTTATGAAGTGAAATTCCTGACTACAGAAACAATTCTCTTTATCAGCTTGTATATGCATTTATGTGGTTTGACACTACTTATGAAAAGTCTGCATTGAATTGTTGTTGATTGCAGGCCATTGCTGCAGCTTTTGCGTGTGACCAGAATCAATATGATGTGATGTTAATAACTCATTCGGCACACGAGGTTTGCATTTTAAACATAAAGTCTAAAAGAGCATTATATTAGTTTTTGAATCACTCTGGGTATCTTTTTATTCTTTCGGCATGATGTTAACATTGTGGATTTCTACTTCATTTTATTTGCTTTTCTTTCTGTTAATGGTTGACACNTATGCATCATTGATTTCTTTAATTCATGCTATTTCACATCCAAAACTCTTCCTCCATTGCTATTGGCTTTTATATATAAATGTGTTATAATCATTGTTTTGATCACAAAAAAAAAAATTGTGTGCTATAGCATTTGCTTTCTGCATTCCACTTGATTTTGTTGTTATTTCAGTGTTTTCTTTTACCGGTAGAGTGGGTAGATTTTTTTCATGAGTTCTCAATGAAGTATGTCCTGGTAGTTCTAATCCTTGATAGCCGCACCTATTTTTTGGGACTGAAAAAAGAAGAACACAGGGATTTTGTGTAGTTAATCAATAAGAATTCTTTGTCCCCTTTTACAAATTGACTCTCAATTAAAAAGATTCAATTTTATTATATGGGTTTTTGAAATTTAAGATATGGGTAATCAGTGAAACTTGTTTTTGATCCTGTGTGCTATCTCCATTACAATTATAGCATAGTTTATTCAATTATATTAGTCGGTGGAGGCATTTTCACGTTATCATTGAATTGATGCCTCTGGAAGTATGATGTGATTGATATTTATTCTCTGGTGTAACAATTTTCAGGTCCTGTTGAATCATGGCCGAAGATGGTGCTGATACTTTTCCGGAGTTGCTAAGTGTGTACAGAGTGTCTGGTCCCAGAAGCAATAGCATTTCTGATGACAGTGTTTCAAAGTCCTGCTTTTCTCAAAACTCTGTTCCAAATGTTTGGAGAACTCCAAATATTATTCAGAAGCTTAAGCTGGTAGAGAGGGTTAATGGTGTAACGAGAGTGACTGACAGCAGTCGCCAGAAGTACAAAAGCAACTCTCTTCCTACGCAGGAGAAGAGCAATTCTTTGTCTCCGGAGGACAACAGCAACACTCTTGGTACTCTGGCTTCTGAGGGAAGTGAAACTTTGAACGGCAGCAATTTGTCTCCTCAGTCAGTATTGATTCCGACATTAGAGAAAGAGTTAAATTCATCTACTGGAGTTGATGCAACTACATCTGCGGATTGCGAAAATGATAAATGCAAAATGGAAGAATCCCTAGAAATCTGTGGTGAAAACAATGATGAGATTGTTGACAACATATCTGACATTGTCTCGGACAGTGATGACGATTGTTCTATGGGTGGAAACTATTATATGTAGTTCCCAGAAGTACAAGGAGATTATGCAGTTGGGGTCGGAGAGAGAGAAAATAATGAGAATTCATGAAGAGAAATGGTTGGCTCTGAAGAAGAAACAGTGGCAGGAGCTGGTTGAACTTGAGAAGGAATTAGAGAATGAACTGACGCAGCTCATGGACAAGTACGCTTCCAACTAGTCATAAGAGAAAGACATATCTAAACTGAATGGCTGCTGAGTAACATTATTACCAAAAACCAAAACAGGAGAGTGGCTAAGACCAGAATCATCTACTGACATACACATATCTCTCAAGAAATTGGCTTTTTTGGTTCTAGTCTTCATTCGAAAAATGAGAGTGACATTTGACAAACCTCACTGACATTAGAATTTTGGTCTCATTTTACTCTTAAATGTAGTTTTTGTTCTTATTGTATTTTTTAAGTTTAGCATTCTTTGCTGGCAAGTTTTCTGTACAATTTTATGTTGAAGTTATTGTGTTCCTGTTGGATATTTTGTACGTAAAGTTTTAAATAAAATTAGTCCCGACACCCCTACTGAACAAATATGAAGTAATTTTATCAATTCTAAATCAAGTTAAAGTGACAACATATTCTGAGAGGAATGAAAGAAAATCCAAATTAAAAACAAGGATCACGATGACATGAATGATGGAATAATGCTTTTGAAGAATGAGCCATGGATGATGTAATAGTTTTTATGAATGATAAAATGATTTTTAAGGTGTATTTTGAAGATATATGCACGGTTAATAGTGAAAGAATAAAAAGAAATATATGATAAATTTGAATAGTCGCATATAAGTTTTGTTAACATAATGGAATTATTATCTTCTTAAGAGTTTTATATACTAAATTTTTTAGTATCTTCTTATGAATTATTATCTGAAATGTAATTTGCATTCTGAATTGACTTTTAAATTTGTATTATTGTATAATCTAAAATATAAATTTGTATAATGAATTGTATATTTTAAAATGTAAATTTGTATTACTAATTATATAATTTTGTATTATAAATAGTACAATTTGAAATAATTACAGTAAGATATATTGAAATTTTAAAAAACATGAGAGTGCAGAAAGAAAATATAGGAGTGCAAGAAAAAATTTCCAAATGAACATTGACCTCAAACACAGGCTGTAGATGCGACGGCCTAGACACAATAGGAAAATAAGGCCCATATTTTACTTTTTTAATATCATTGTAATAATTGGCGCATATTTAGCAACAATATTATTTTTTATCTATTTATGTAATATACTCAATGTTATATTATGTTATATAACAATTTTTTTTTCTCTGCAACATGTTTACATCGTGTATATATTTTATTTGTATTTCTTTCTAAAGAAAATAAAAACGATATACAATCAGATAAACAACTATCTCATTATAT